TTATTACATAATTTTGGCTACTTTTTCATTAAAAACAATATTTTACAAACCACCATTTTTTTTGAATCACACTGTATTTTGTGGTGAAGAGAAAGATGTAATCTATAAGCCGTAAGTGTGTTTGTAGATGTTATCTTAGGGTAAAAAAGTTGCTGGTAATTTATATTACATAATTGATAAATAATATTGTCATCTTTTTCTGATTAAAGAGGGGAAATAGTATTATCATCTGTAGAATCATGTTGTAAAAGAAAGAAGATGGTTAACTCATATGAACAAAAGGCAGATGGAGCTTTTTTTACCTGAATAAAGAAGTCATTGGTAGAAATAGGACATCTTGAAATTAGTGGTGGCTACAATATTGTGGATAAGCCACGGTCTACATGGGACCATTTAAAGGGAGCAATTGGAAATGTGTATATGTTAGGTGAATTAGCACATTGTTATAAAAAAGCTTCTTTTCAAAGGTCCAAGTTTTTTTCTTGCATGCATATGGTAAATAATTTCACATATTTATATTTATATTTATAGATAATCTGATTTCCTTAGTTTTGATGTTTTAATTATTTCACACACTGTAGAAAAACAAATAGAGCTATGGGGAATGTCAAATCCAACAAATGGTGTCCTTTTAATGGAACGAATAAGTAAATCATTTGTTCCAATTGATTGGACAAGTCAGCAAATTCATTTTTTTGATTTCATATCTCTCTTATGGGTGTTTAAGGTATTATACCTTTTTTTTTCTTTGGATTGTTTAATATTTTTTTAATGCTCATCAAAGGTTGTTTGGTTGTTGTTGGATAGATAAATTTGCTAGAAACAATCAAAATTGTAAATGAGGTGTGTGCTGAAAATGTTAATAATATGTTTGAAATGTATCTCAACTTCCTGATGGTCTTCCTCTTCATTCATGTACTCCATCCAAAGAAGCTCGCCGTGCTGGGATAAAATCATTTTATGCTCAGAGTGAAGCTGGCACTCCAAATAGTTCACCACTTTTCTTATACTCTACAGGCAAGATATTGGAACTTCAAAATAATATTAATCACTAATTATATTTATAAATAGGTTTTTTTATCTGGTATTGTTAGAATTTTTTCTTAATGACAAATATATTTACTAAATGCGTTTGAAATATTTTTCAATGAAGTGCATTTTTTAATTAATGATTAATATAAGTTATTAAAAAAACTTAATGTACTTTATTATCAATACCAAGTGATAAGGCTAAAGTATTTTGAAAAAAATTCTCTGATTATGAAAATAATTATGGCAATCTTGCATCAATTTATAAAATTAATGAAAGACAAGCAAAAGAATATCCAGAAGGTATTATTAATCACTAATGTATTTTTACATTGCAAATTATTATTAACAACAGTATTATTACAATAAATAAATATATACAATATATCTATATGTCTGGATATATGTATATATAGATAGATTCAATGTTAAGTCAATTTTTGAATCATTTCAGCTATCTAAATACAAATTAAATCACCTCAAATCAAAGAGAAAGAATTGGCACCAGTTCGCCATGTCCTATTAGATTCTGTGCATCCAGAAAAGTATCCATAACCAGATTTTAGACAATGGGTTCCATATAAACCAGCGGAACAATTACATAGACAACAACAACAAGCATCCACTACTCAAAACGTAACAGGAAGTTCAACACTATCATCTCTAAATCAATCAACATCAATGACATCGACAACATCAATAACATCATCAACATCAACAGCAACATTATCACCACCTATGTTTTCTCAACCAACAGCAACACATCTACAACACAAAAAAAGGTATGGCAAATATATCTCAACTATAGATGCTGGTCGCAATTCTTGGTGATGGTTGCAACCATATTTGCGACATATAAAAATGGTTTGCGACACCTGGTTGCAACCACTTTGCAACCACTTTGGTTTCCTTTTTTGGATTGCGACATGGAACACTAAGAGCACGGTTAATACTGGTAATTCTGGAATTTGGAAGTTCTATAGAATTGTGATAATTTGTAATAATAGTTTGTTGGCTATTTTCAACTTTCTTTTTCTTAATTGGTGCTTTATCCTTATGTTCTAACACTATGGACAGATATTTTCTTACAATTTTTGCAGGGGCTTTTGAACAATGGTTGGCAAGATGTTCCTCTAGTTTTGCAACTTCACCACGTGTCCATTACTTGTACAGTATTTACAAGAGGCATTAAATTTTCCAGAGCCAACAGAATCTCCTTTATTAACATCTTCCCAAATAGA